TTTCAGATGACCTGGTAACTGGGAAAGAAAAAAAAATAAAGGAAGAAAGGAAGACTGACAGACAAACAAGAAAGAAAGAAAGAAAGAAAAAAAGAAAGAAAGAAAGAACCTGAGGAAAGTTTGAAAGCTAATGCCCAGGGGTCAAGACACTGAAGGTCTAATCAGTGACTTTTTGCCTTTCTGGAGGATGTCATCATGGCAAGGGTAAGTTGTATGTTACACACAGATCTCTGGACCCTAAAGATGATATCATATGACATCTATGTAAGAAATTCTATTAAGCTGTGACTTCAAGGGAAGTCATGCTTGCATTTGAATAGTGTTTTACTTTTCCCTACATGACACAAAATAAAAATTTGCACTTCTGGACTTCAGACTTTGTGGAGATAAAATATTTTTATAAAATTTATAATTTTATTGTTAGCCCAATGCCATACTGTGCAAAACACAGAACATTTAATTTGAGACCCATCTGTAGGTAGCTAGACGGTGGGCAAACAAGAGATCAGCACAAAGTCAAATGCAGAGCTTCTTGGTTGGAGCAGCGGAGATGAGCTTCCTGGGGTACAGGGCGCGTGGCATTCAGAAGAGTTCACCAGAACTCTATTTCTCAAGCTCGACATAGACAAACACACAGGCACTTACTGTGAAATTGTGTGTGCCGTGTATGACACTCCGTGTCACCACATCCATAAACATTTCATGATAAAAATGGAAAACATTTGTTGTGTTAAAAGGTTATGAGTCTGTTAAAAACAGAAAAATCAATCAAGAGAAGAAACTTTGCAACCTGGGACGCCCTCTAGTGCCCACATTGGAGAAGCACAGCTAATTGTCAGTTAATAGGCTTCCGTTCTACTCAGTTTCCTTAAAAAAACAAGTCTCCACAAGACAGAGTAAAGGCACTGCCCCAAATTCCTCAAGGAAATGTCCTGTTTTCACACACACAAAATACCCCTTCTGTTTTTGTTTCAGTGTTTTAAAAAAATGATTCCAAAGGAAGTTTGACTTTTTTTTGATCAAGTAGAAGAAATCTTTCAAACTTTAAGTATATACTTGAATAAAAGGAAACATACTAAAATGGTATGCTTGGTGAACATTTTAAGATTGACTTTCTCCTTATGTTCTTCCTTTAATTTTTTTTACAATTATTGCCTAATAGCAATGATTTCCTTACAGAATTTTTGGAAGAATTTTACATCTGACTCCTTCAGACTTGATAGAGCATAGCAGGTTTCAATAGCCTTCAGAGTGACACATATGGAAGGAACTGCCTTCCTTCCTTCTTTCCTTCCTTCCTACCTTCCTTCCTTCCTCCTCCTTCCCTCCCTCCTTCCCTCCCTCCCTCCTTCCTTCCTTCCTTTCTGCCCTTCCCTTTTTCCCTCCTCGCCCCTCCCTCCTCCTCCTCCTCTTTCTTATCTTCCTCCTCCTCTTCCTCTTATGGATTTCAAGACAGAGTCTCTCAGTGTATCCTTGGCTGTCCTGAAACTCACCATGTGGATCAGGCTGGCCTCAAGCTCCCAGAGATTCACTTGCCTCTGCATTCTGAGTATGGGGATGAAAAGTTACACTGCACAGCGGAGTAACTTCTTTATAGTCATGAGTCAAAAGCAAAGCTCAGGTTTTTTTTTTTTTTTGTAAAATAATCTGTCCACCAAGATTTTTAGTTTGTTGGAGGCAAATCCTTTTCTTTTTCTATATTTACATTAGGACAGTTCTTAGCATAGCCTCCAGTCCTCGACAGACATGATTACATGCTTATATTCCTTGATGAGACCATTTATATAGGTATACTAAAGTCAAAGATAGTTTTTTAAAGATATTTTATAGCTTGACAGAGAGTAAAAAGAATTAGGTAAATTAGATAATATAAATAAATAAATACATAACAGAAAAAACCCAAATTCAAAATTATAATAAGAGATAGTGTAATATTTAACAAAAAAATTAGAATGTAGCAGAAGATGAGATAATCAGAAATTTATCTACTTTGGTTTGCGAGCATAATATTTTTTTTAAAAAAATTAGTCAGAATTTAAAGTGTGACATGGGCTGGAGCGATTGCTCAGAGGTTAAGAGTACTGACTGTTCTTCCAAGGGACTCAGGTTCAATTCTCAGCACCCACTTGGTGGCTAACCACTATCTTTTTATTTGAAGATTTATTTATTATACATAGTGTTCTGTTTGCATGTATGCCCTACAGAAGAGGGCACCAGATCTCATTATAGATAGCTGTGAGCCATCATGTGGTTGCTAGGAATTAACTCAGGACCTCTGGAAGAGCGGCCAGTGTTCTTAACCTCTGAGCCATCTCTCCAGCCCCGACATCTGTAACTCTTAATTCCAAGATAATTCAATACCCTCTTCTGGCCTCTGTGGGCATACACAGGCAAAACACTCATACAGATAAATAAAAATAAATACTTTGAAAAAGAGTGGCAATTCATGTTTGACTGTATGAAATCTTTGGAAGAATTGACAATTATAGAAACCAATGTGAGAATATCTCTGATATTTGGTAACTCAGCAGCATGGAGGAAAGAGAATAGAACCTCTACTTCAATTAGCCACATAAAATAATTTTTAAAATGTGGTCCTCAAAACCATGGTTTTCTTGTCGTTGTGTCTAAACAATGCACTATGAAAGCTACTTATGTGGTGTGGGAGGTCCTTCTGTCTATGTATTGCTTTTATTGATTTATGAATAAAGAAACTGTCTTGGCCTGTTGATAGGGCAAAACTTAGATAGGTGTAGAAAACTAAACTGAATGCTAGGAGAAAGGAGGCAGAGTCAGAGAGAAGCCATGTAGCCCTACCAGAGAAAGATGCCAGAACTTTAGCTGGTAAGCCATAGCCACGTGGCGATACATGGATTAATAGAAATGGGTTAAATTAATATGTAGGCATTAGCCAATAAGAAGCTAGAGCTAACGGACCAAGTAGTGATTTAAATAATATGGTTTCTGTGTGGTTATTTTGGGGCTGAGCATCTGGGAACAAACAAGCAACCTCCCCCAACACTTATGGGCATGTCCAGAGTACTAGGCACCGCAAGGAATCTAGGGAATGCCTAGAAGGTTTTCACAATCATCAAATCGTTTTATATATGAGTTTGACATCCTTAAGTTTTAACATCTGCCGGTCTTTGGAACAAAATCCTCTGCCCGTATACCAAAGGACAACTAACCTGACTTGCTGTGAGCCCGTATGTATACGCCGTATACTTTATGGAAGACAAGGACATCTGTGGAGGTTTGAACAAGACATTCTCCATGGTCTAAGGCATCTGAATACTTGGTTCCCAGTGAGTGGCACTCTTCTGGCAGTCGAGAGGGTATGACTTTTCTGAAGGAAATGTCCATCATTGAAGCCAGGCTTTGAGGTTTCAAAGTCTTACACCATTCCCAGTGCTCTTTCTCTGTTTCCTTTCTCTGGTGAGCTCTCAGCTTGCTGCTTCAGCTGCTACCATGATCGACCCTTGTTTATCTGGAATCACTAACCCAAGTTAACCCTTCCTTCTACAAGTTGCCTTGGCCATGCTGTTCCTATTGTAGCAATAGGAAATTAACTACGATACCAATGAAAATAGTTTAGAACATCGAGTGCAGAGGGATGTGCAGCGGTTTAACTTGTCTTCTGAATTCACCAGAATGCTGCAAAAGTGGTGTGGATTCAACAGAAAGTGTGTCCCGATTTCAATGTGAATGTTTCCCTGGCTGAGTCTACGCGATCCGATTCTCTGTTGGGCTACGAGGGCACAGCACGGAATCGGGCAGCAACAGATCCTGTAGTCCCAGCATCGCAACCAAACCGGAGCAATTCCAATCACGTGCACATCGCGTTGCAGAGTGAGAATAATGTAGGCTGAATTTTTCCATCTTAGGTCAAAGGACTGACTGAATATATTCATTCTAAGGCCCTGTTTCCTAGACTCTGTAACATGACTCATATGCCCTGCAAGTGAATGTGGGGTCATAAAAGGGATTTTGCAATAGTAAAACGTTTCTGGGTGCACAGTAAGCCCAAGCTGATTTAGAATCAACTTTTAATAAGTTGGAGGTGACAGTGCGACCTGCGTGTCATCATTTGACTTCATCACAGCCTTGGCTCTAAACACACAGCGTAAGTACTTTGCATTGCTCATAGCATCTGCCATGTGATGCCAACACTGACTGAAACACACAGGCTCAGATTCTAGACTGTGTATGCTGAGAACCACAGCGACTTACTGTATAGACAGAGTTTTCTGCTTTCATAGAAATTTTATGATTTAATTAGGAAAGAAAGACTTTTAGTAGTTTAATATCATCATTCTTAGCATGCAAATATCAAACTATAAATAAAAGTAAATCTTTTTTAAAAACTGAGACCACCTAACAGCACATTCTAAAGTTATACTAATTTGATATCACATAAATGTGGTGCTGGAGGAGGTGGGAAGAGGGAACTGAACCCTTTGGAGCTGGAGTAACGAGGGGTCGTGAGTGCCTGGCCTTAGTGCTGGGAACTAAACATGGGTTCTCCTCAAGAGCAGAAAGTGTTCATAAGCACTGAGTCATCTCTCCAGCCCTAGAACGTTCGATTTTTAAAATGACTGAGTGGTCTTGAATTTTATTTAAAGGTTGTTCAATGAATCTTCCCTTGTGGTTAGGACACAAGTACCAGTAATTTCTGCCATTTCCTAGCTGTTTATATGAAGTGATTTTCTCGGAGTTGGTGATTATAACATTAAACGACCGATGGATGTTTAGGGACTTAGTCAAGTCCCTTTACTAATGCTGTTGGATGAAGACACTGGAGTCACAGTGATAAGTGCTCAAGGAAGCCCAGGTGAGTCCCTAAACTCTGATCTCCCACGTCATCATTACTTTTAGGAAGCTCACTTTTCTTCGAATGTGTTGGCAAATAACAAGCTGGATCATTTCTTTCCTTGTCATGTGTAATTCCACCAGCAAGTTCCAACCGTTTTGATCAAGAAATAAGCGAGACTGGCACTTACCGACTTGTGTTTGTGTAGAGCAGTTTAGAGAGCCGTGGCTTGGCCACAGATGCGATATTGCCATAGGGGTCGTCCACGTCATCCGCTTTTGTACTCTGCACATGGCCGCTGTCAGAGTGAAAAGGAAAGTCGTAGGAAACTTAAGATTAGTTGAGCAAAACAAATAAGGGATGTTTTACTTGTCAGAGTCGATTAAAAGCCCAAGAGGGAAACATATCATGGCAAAAAAACAATTGGAATGAAAAACTAGAAAGGTATGGCTCTTTGTCTTTAGAATATGAGGCCTCTACTCTGGGACCGGAACCTTGAGGGACAGTTCAGGGCTTCCGGGTTCAGAAGCCGTAGGACACAGGGTGGAAGCCAGGGCGTGGGGGTTGATATCTGCTGAAGAAAGCACGGTTTCTGTAGAGACGGGGTCTAGGCAGGTGTTAGGAGCCTGGACCACATTGCTGAGTTGTGAGAGAGTCCAGAAGGCTGATCACATCAGCAGGTCAATGTCCCAAGGGCTTCTGGGATTACGATTCCAGTCAGCTCCACTGGAAGGAGGAGGAAGCCCTGACCAAAGTCGGGGCCCCTCTTTCATGTTTTCTCATCTCCTTCATTTCAAGGTGATCTTTCAAAGTGAGCACAAAAAGGGAAGAAGATGGGTGAAGATTAGCGCACTTCTGCTACTCAGAGCCAGAGCTACAGTAAAGGAGGACGGGACCGTCCTTCCTCGGGTGCTTCCGCGTTAACGAGCACGATTTACCACCCGAGCGCTGCTCCTGATGGACCACATGAGCAGGAGCAACAGGGCTATTCTATTCCTAAAACATCCTATTTAAGGAAACAGAAAATTTGTCACTCCCCATTTTATGCTTTAACCCAAATCTCTAATAAGCTTCTGATTAAACTTCCGGTACTAAACAGGCATGTGCCAAAAGCAGCCGGAGGACGTTAAAACACATCCGTTAACTTTAGCGTGGACTGAAAGCACAGGGAGATGAAAAGAAATACAATTTAGACTTAAATACGATTTATTTGAAAGCAATGAGAAATGTCACTTACGTGTAGAGAGGAATGTATTTACTCCTAGAGCTTGGGCTCACACTTGGAAAAAGAAGAAAAATAGGCAATTGAGTTATTGGTATTTTAAATGAATATCCAATTACTATAACAAGTCTCAAATTAAAATATCTCCAGAGATCCAGAAATTGACCTCTAAAGTTTTGTTTTAGAAACAGTGGAATGGCTGTAGAGCATCCCATTGCTTTTCATGCTTTCAAATGCCACCTATCCATCCTCTGACGATGGGCGCCTTGGTTGTGTTCAGATCATAGAAGCTATGAGTAAAACCTTTATGAGCACTTATATGTAGACTTATGTGTCAGTTCTTGGGAACTACTTTCCGAGGCCCCACCTTGAATGATATCCTGGCGAATTCGGAGGAATGGCATTAGTAAGAACTAATTACTAAGTTCTAGTAATTAGAAACTAGAACTTTCAAGTGCTGCCCCTTATCTGTCAAACGAAACACCTAAAAATGCAGCAAACCCATAAAAACCTCCTGACTGAGAAAAGAGAAGGGAGGGGAGACTGCATCTGGGATGTAGAATAAATAAATAATGAGTAATTTATTTATTTAAAATAGTAATAGTAGACTTTAAAGGATTAAAAGAATACATGAAAACGTGGAACACCAAATCCATAATTCCAGTGTTCCTGGAAAAGGTCAGATATGCTGATGGAGGGACTCAGGCATTCCCATTGGGTCGTGTTTTTTTTTTTCTCAACAGAGGGAGGAGATACACAGGATATATAATATTTAGTTCATATATTTTGAATACAGAATATTCAGAGTGAATTAAACAAGCAGAGACCATAACCAGGGCTGCATAAACTCTAAAAATAAAAAGAACCCAAATAGTAACATTTTGGAAGAAGAAACCACCAAGCTCTTTTGATATTAAATGTACAGAATTGTACATAGAAGAACACTGGAAAGAAAGCAATAGCATTAAGCACCAATACAATGCAAATCCATGACGTGAAAGCCAATAGAATGTTATTTAGAATCTTCTTTATATGAACTCCATGGAGTGCCACAACAATGTAGCTGTCCATATCAAATTGTTTATATAGTACTCCCAATTTTAAAATCTAGTACATTTAAAAATGTCCATTTTTGAGGGTTAAAGAGAGGCCAAGCGTTGTAGCTCACTTGCTCTTCTCGGCCCCAGGACGATTGGATGAAGGTCTCTGGGACACTCTGAATCTAAAGTCAGGCCCCTGTCCTGCCCTCAGTGGGGGTATCAGGTTCCTAGTGACGAGGTTAAAGCTAGCAATGGTAAGAGCAGGGAAGCAAACTTACAAATTGATTGGTTTGACTGGCGCTGAGAACAATCTCGTCTGAAATCTGTCCCAGAGTCCTCCGACCATCTAAAACCATTATTGAAACAAACAAAAGCTATTAAAAGATCTTACTGTAATTTCAGAGATTCAAACGTTGGTGCCCTTAGCAGGCCCCTTACACCATAGCTGAGTCTGAACTCTGGGAAAGCCTTTTTTAGGCTGGCGACTCTGGGTCGGGTGGGGTTTTGCTTCTTAGTGCCATGGGTCTTGGCTCTTTGCTCTAACTTCCACTCCTACACTGCTCTCTCCAAGCTGGAATTGCCTCATGGTCACCTTCTCCAGGTGACATGATTTCTCTGGGTGAAAGATTTCGCTTCAGTTTCATGACAGATCCTTCCCCTCTGAGACCCACTGCAGGCTTCTCCTGATGTCTTTGCACAGAGCCTGGGTTCAGAACAGCATCTTACCAGGGGAGGACTTTAGATATTCAAACTATCTAATGCGGGAAATGTAATGAAATGACCAATTTTTATGAGATATAAAATTTTTTTGAAGTAATTTAAAGATCCTAAAAAATAAATGAAGTCATACACAATTTTTGTCCTTTAACCAATTTTCCCTTCTGTGTAACAATCCAATGTTTGAGTATTTATATTAAAGCTGTATTTGCCCCTCTCTTATTATTTCTTTCTCTATGAAGGTGGAAGAAATTTTACACAAAAATGCAGGCCTCCTAATTCGGGGCTCAGGGACTCCTGAGGGTATAATTGGTTTCCCTCTTTATATTACCAATTTCCTATGCTCAGAAACTCCATTATGAGAAATCATCCAACAGCTGACCCAGATGAAACACAAAGGGACAATGAAGCAGGAGGTGTTTTGCAAGCATGAAGCAAGGCATTTGCCTCAGTGTTGGGAGGACAAAAGCCAGGGCTTTGTGAATGCTTGGGGTTCCTTTTGGCACAGAGTAATTAAAATGACGGGACATTGCAAAAGGCAGGATCCCACAGGGATCGTGATGGGATTGGGCACTGAGCGTTCACTCGAGAGGGACGATAGAACAGAACCGGCAAATGACTAGCTGTATGTCTTCTCAAATAGCATGGGGTCCATGTTCTGAAAACAATGGCCATAGCCAATGTAATAACGTGGACAGATCTCCACTCTAGAGAAAGGGCTCCAGCTGTGGTAGGGATGCATGACCAGTAGTCCATAGGACAAGCTCTTTCTGACATTCAGAAATGAAACTGATGGCTATCTCTCTGAGAGCTCTCTGTGCTTTGGTATAACCGGAAATACATAACCGGAAATACAAGAAAGCAGTCTACGGCTCATGGATCTTCCTATTCTGCTCAAAGAGTGGACAGCTAAATTCTAGGTCCTATTTCCAGAACTATGCTCTGCATAAATTATCTGAAAAAAATAACGTCTCTGTGTCTCTTTCATTATTTAACATTCTTCTATAATTTCCAAAATTAATAGCCACCACAAATGACTTTGAGGGAGAAGTCATTAATTTTAGTAAACATTTTTAGTACAAACAATGAGAAAAATGTTTACAATTACTAGCGATTTGTGATTATATAACTTCCAACTTCACATATAATTCCTATCAATGAAATAACACGAGTTTGAATTTATTTTCAGTCAAAGCAAACAGTAGGAGCCATAATCTGTATGGCTGTCCTGGGTTATGGCTGGCACCCTTTCACCATGGTTGGGAATGCTCACTGACCTGGGCAAAGGCTGGCACCCTTTCACCATGGTCAGAGATGCTCACTGACCTGGGATGGCTGGCACCCTTTCACCATAGTCAGAAACGCTCACTGACTTGGGTTATGACTGGCCTGGGTTATGGCTAGCACCCTTTCACCATGGTCAGGAATGCTCACTGACCTGGGTTATGGCTGGCACCCTTACACCATGGTTGG